TTAATTTTAATATCATTGCCACCTAAATAAATTTATTAGACAATTAATAAATTTAAGGTCAATTTTTTTCTTCTTATAAATATTAATGATTAAAAATTGCATTCCTTTTGTTTCAAAATATAAGGCCTTTTTGACTATTTTGCATGTATTTTTAGATAATATTTTTATAATATAAACAATAATTAATTTTTTTTTGGATAAAATAAAACTACCAAATAAGAATTACCTGCAGGAAAAAAAAATCTCAATTACCATTCACATACTATAAAAAGGTTTTAGCTAAAGTTATGTGAAAAAACAAAAAAAACTTATATTTTAAAATGAAGGGAGCTATATTATGCTTTTACCTTTTATAGTAGCTAGAAGCACAAGTTAGAAAAAGAAAAAAAAAACCATATATTTTATTTAACCGTAAAAAATTTTATTGTATAATGGAGTACAAAGAGTACATCCCAACCCGTATACATCATAGATTTCAATACCCAGTTAATAACGTTTTCATCCTAGAAAGCATATAAGTAGGTATCAGAAACACAATTGCCAATATAATGTACAACATTGCAACAGGCTCCACCTAGTATCAAGTAAAAGAGCATATTAAGTAAAAGAATTACTATTAACATATTTATTAATGTATCATTTTGAGAGAAATATTTATTAACCTAACTCAACTTTTTCAGAGTATAATAAATTAGAACATTGTGAAACAGGATGGAAATCTGGTTGTTTGAAATCACCATTGTTTCTTAATGCTGTTCTGAAAAACACAGGTAGCTCCCCAGTTGCTGAGGGAAGCTCATCCAATGACAACACTGGGTTGTTATGAAGGATGTGCACGGAGGACAGACCAGGTTCAAATTTGCTTTGTCATGAAGGGAACATTTGGTCCGATGGGCATTAATATTATATAAGAAGGATAATGATCAAGCCTAGGATTTGCTTTTATTTTTTTAATTTAGAGACTACAAATTAAATTTTAAATCTTTATCTAAGAGTAACAGGTAACCCTAACACTATATTTTGAGAGCAAAGAGTTTCTATTCTTGTTTTTCCCAATAATAAATTTCATTAAAGAGAGTGTTATATATTCCCTGTTAGAATTATCTTTGAAGTTCTTATATATTAATTACATGTACTCTAGGAATTCTTTAGATAGCAATACGCACACTCAAAAGCTGCAAGCTTTCAAGCACATACAAGAAACATTAATTTCCATGTCTTGAAATCAAATGTGCTCCCTGTAACTAAAATTATCAGACAGAGAATATTTATTAAATTATTTTTAACTTAAATAAATAATTCTACTATTATAGGTATTTCTAATTTTCTTTTCATATTTTTTTATATGTTTCCATGTAGTTATCATTTTTTTTTTCTTTGTATGTGAACAACAAAGCAATTTATTAATATTGAGTACAAGGGTAATCAAACCCATATGTACTACGGAGAAAAAAAAAAAAAAAAAAAAAACTCCTCTATATTATGCATACCATCAGGTGGCCCTTACCTTGTAAACACACACTGCAACAGCCCCTGAGAAGACAATCTCAAGGGTAAACATTGCTAACAATCAGCGGGGTTTAGTGGTTATTATGACATGGTACACATACTTACTATCCCTCTGTTTTTTTTGACAACATAAAGGGTTTCACCTGAATACTGTAGTTCCCCTTTTTTTTTTTAATCAATCATACTAAAAATTTATATTAATGAAAGTACAAAGGTACTCTATTCTGAACCATATCTTAATACATCAACATAATTTCAAATAAAATCTAAGAATAACATCAACATGAGCTAATTGTCATCCTTTTGTGGCTCAAACTTAAGATCTTTGAAATCCCTTTCGAGCCTCATGATAATTATCAATAGCCGTGAAACATTCAAGTGTTTGTGCACTCCAATCCTGCAAAGAAAATGACATTCTCCTGTCACACTTTTTAACCAAATAAATGCCTTTATTTTAATTAAATTCATTACCTTCCCCGCCCCCCAACATCATCCCCTACCCGTACACCATACCATTCCTCCACATCCAAATATATACCATCCCACTACAAAGAAAACCAAACCTCAAATACTGTAGTTCTTGAAAACCCATTCATTCGTTGAAATCCAGAGGTTTTCTTCTTCTCTAGTGGAGCAGGAGTAGAGGGTCTCAAAAGTGATTTTCAAGAGGATTTGCAATGGTAGGTTTTAATATATGTCACATTTTTCTCCTCCTTCAAAGGGCCTTCTCTTGGTTTTGTCTTCTAAAACGAAAGCAACTAAAGGCATGTTCTAGGAGTGGCCGCGCGCCTAGTACGTAAAATGTAGATTTTGGTTTGATGGAAAAGATTTCAGCTATTTCTGCCAAAAGAAGAATGTAGTCTCACACACAAGCTAACGATTTTGAGTTTTCAGTCTTGTGCCTTACTTGTAGATTTTAGTTTATGTTGTATATTTTCCCAGTAGTATTGCATTTTCCATCTGTTTTTTGAGTATCATTTGTTCTTTTGGTTCAAAGTTGTGTTCTAGAAGTGTAACCTAGAACTCAACTTAATAAATGTTACATATTTTAAATTTCTTAAGTTTTAATATTCTAATGACATAATGTTAATTAATTTTGATTTTTAGGAAAAAGACTGGGGTCAAAACGGTGATTATTTAGTAGATGTTCAAGATCAAGGAGAATGTAGTAAGTAAAATAATTTTATTATTATTTTTATTAACAATTTTTTTTAAAAAATTGGCATTTAGAGGTTGTTATTTTATTTACTTAGTTGATGTTATGTATAAATAAATAAATCCCAACAAGAAAAGAATATTAGACACAAGTACATCCTAATTCAAGTTGGATAATTTTTCCGTATCTTGAATATTATTCAGGAAATTTTATGATATTCTTAATTAATTTCCTTGTGCGTTTGCTAGCTAGTTTCTGAAACATACATACATATATATATATATATATATATATATCGATCTGTCGTGCTTTTTTCCTTGTCTTGGCTTACACTGTTATTCACAGTCGTCATTTGAATTCCATGTCCATTTGGTTAATTGATATATATCTGCTTGCAGAGAGAAGAAATTAAAAGCCTTGGCCATGGAAACTTTGTTAGAAAGCTCCATATTCACTACCCAACACTGTTACTCCTTCCCTTCCCTTCCCTTCTTCTAACTCGATCCAATCTAAAACCTGGCAGCTTAACCAACCCCTCCCTGCCCCCTGTCAATTTTACAGATGGAACCTATATACTTCGCTACCAAATGCATCCATCCATA